ACTGTTAACTTATTTTTACTCTGGCTCTTAAACTAACTCAGAATGAGAGCTGTTCCGGAAGTGGGGCTTCTCTTTAAACTATCTCTTGTAAATTAGCGCACTTTCATTTACACCCCCTGTAGCCTAGGGCACCCCCCTAGCGTCATTTGCCCAACAATGGGACTTTTAGGACCTAGCCCACGCGAGTTAGATTCCGCCTGACGTTAAATAGTAATAAATAAATAAATAAATATCCCCGTGCGCGTTACTGTAAGCGAGTTCGTAGTATGCTACTACATTTCAGCGTCCATACGTTATATATAGTAAACTTTCACGAAGGGCAATGAATTGGGGATACGTGTACCTAAAGAATGATATGGATATGTATGTTTTGTTGCCTGCTAGGTTAGCCTGGTAACTTCGTAGAGTTAGCGAGGGTGTAGACTAGATTGGATAGAGCTTATTCGTGCGTCTCTCCAATATCTACTGGGTTAAAGGGAGATACTAAGGAGTTCATGTAGATATTCTCTACACGGAATGCACAGGACCTCCAATCGCTTAATTTGGACATCTTAAGAACGGCAATATCAGAAGCTTCCACGGTTCTTTGAGATCCAGTGTTTCGAGTGTAGCTCGCTGATACCGTAAGCCTTGCATGAAGTTCTCTGTGTCCTGTTGGATGCCTCCTTGGTAGGTGAGCACCGTAAGCTGTTTGAAAGCTCTAACCTGGCGCAGGAGGTGAACAAACAGGGAAGGCCTAATATCGCTTAATTTCAACTTAGATATAGAAAGGCCAGCTGTACATTTCTCCCAATCAAACTCGACGAATTGTTGTAGATTGTCTGCCTTGAAAGTACGCAGCGAGGGGACGTTGAGAAATGGGACAATACTCTGTAGAGAGAAAGAGGCACGCCCGCCAGGAGGACAGACCAAACTTACACTCCGAAGCTTGGAAAAGGGTTGCGAGGAGGACATTGCTTTCTGGTTACCCTGAACGGAGATTGCTCTTTCGAAGACCTTAGTAACCCAATCCATAGTTACACTGCCCTTGTTTTCAACTGAGATCTCGAGTTTCTCTAGATTCAACAGTCGAGAAAGAATTAGCCCTACGTAGACATCCCAATAGCCGGCTTGAATGCGCGGCGTCCATTGCAAAGTATCTCCCGGAGACGATGCGGCTTTTGAAACCACATTTTCCAGACGTTCCAAGTCATTTGGAGTGACAGCCGCATGACTAGACGACCGCATCGGTTGTAATGACAGCAAAATTACTTGACATAGTGTGCCGACATGGGACCGCTAATATTCTGAACATCAGCTTCACAAGGCGAGTGCCGTCATTATCCACAAAACTCCGATAGAGAAATGGCTGAACGAGACTGTTGATGTGACGTGAACATTGACTAAGATTGAGGATAGCTTGAGCTGCGCGTTCCGTGATATGACATGGAGGATTCTTCTTTTTGCGCCAATCCTTGATGTCAAGATCGATCCATTCGACAATCACTAATACGATCTCGTCTGCCAGGGTTTCAATGAAGTTGGTCTGGTTGGTTGAAGTTGACATGCTGACCGGTGTTTGATGGTCCTTGGAAAACTTGTCAGCTGAGTGTCTAATCCGTTTGCGACCTATATATAGGTATTTTAAATAGGTCTTTGAGAAGTGATAATGATGACAATCTACGATGGAGATATTGTAACGACAGAAGAAGATTTTTGGAGCTGATAGAATTGGAAGAAGGGATGTTCATCACGTGGCTCATGACAAAAAGCATTTAGAAACGCCACATTAGGCAGCACATATCAAGACCGAGGAGCGAGGAATGTACTCAAGGGACGATGTTCCAATATTGGGTACCGGATCTTATCCATGTTCCTTATACCCTTTCCACGCTCTTTTCTTTGGGTCCTGAAAAAACGTCGGAATTTCCCCCTTTAAATAAGAGCTCTCTTTCGGTAGCCATGTAACGTTATACAAATAATAAGGTAAGAAAAGTATAACTTATAAGAACTACTATAACAATAGTTCACTTAATTCCATGTTAGCTAATATTTCTATATACTTTTATAATTTAGGTAGCGTTTATAATTCGTTTTTAAGTAAAGGGTATGTAGTCTCGAGATAGTATAAAATTCGACGTTTTTTCGGGACCCAAAAAGCTATAATAAGTAATCAATCTTCCCCCTAGCTTTCTAGTATTTAATACTATCTTTACGCTTTATACTAGTACGTCGACACGCTCTTTATAATTAATATACTTCTTATCCTCTAAGAATAAGAATAAGAATACTATAATCCTTCTAAGCCTTCCTTCCCCCCTTCCTCCCTTCTTATTTATAAACCTAAGTACTTTTTAAAATCGCGGAATAATATGCTAACACTTAACTCTTATCCTTAACCCTACTCCCCCTTATTCCTTAAATCAACCAACCTCTACCCCTAACCTATGTACAAAAAACTTCCTAACTTTTCAAATCCCCAACTTTTCAAACCTCCCCTCCCAACCCTTCTCTCCTCCTGCGTTCTTTCCTCCTCGGTAGTAGAACATACTATTCCTTTCCCTTTCCCTTACCCCTCATAAAGTACCTACCGTATCCCAAACAACCCTACTCGTACAGTATAAATATCTACAATCTACTCACTAGCACCAAACAGATAGCTTATATAAATAGAAATAAACAGAATACTCGTACGGGTAAGACAAGTAAGACAAGACAAGATAAGACAAGAGATATGTAGGTCTCAACACTTTTCATGATTAGCAGGAAGTGTATGGAAGTACTCAGTACTATGGAAATGTAAGGAGTAAAGAGGAAAGAACAAAGAGAAAAGAGGAAAGAGACAACATAGAAGATATCGGGGGTACGGTACAGTATAGTACAGAATCGGAGAAGAACCCCAATACCACATAGCCCAGACATCGACAACTCAGGTAATCCTACACCATCACAGCGTACATACCAAATCCAAACTCTCCAGCAAAACAAACAAACATACTCACTCCACACCCAAAAAAAACATCACAAAAAACCTCATAAATAAACCATCAATTCCCATCTACACAACACTACATACCCCTCACACCCCCGGCCTCCTCAAAGGATGCGCCTCAGTATTCAACACAAACTCATCCAAACTAACACTCTCCCACCCCCCAAAGCAGAGATAAAAATACTTCAACGTCTCCGCCAACCAAAAGCTCTCCATACTATCCATCTGCTGCTGCTTCACCACCTCCTTCGGGGTCGTGATATCCATAATCGCCGCGGCCGCAATCTCAGTGCGGCTGACGCGCTCCACCGCTTGGAACATTCTCCAGGCCGTGTCTTGCCACTTCTGCTCCCCCGTGATGCGATACATGATGAAGACGGATTCGATGGCTTCGGGGCGGAGGATGTACCGTCTGTCTGGGATATTGGTGAAGCCGGGAGGTAATCTTTCTTCTGCGGCGTATTTTTGTAGACGTCCGGCACGGTCGCTTGGGGTATCGTTCGGCCCTGGGAAGGGAGGGGCGCTGTTTGATAGAGCATTGTACCATACTTCGTCGTCCCATTTGCACTTGCCATCCTTGGGACAGGGCATGACGGTAAATAGTTCAGGGGAGATGCCGTTGGGGTTACTGTCATATGCCCAGACACAGCCATTGACCAGCTCCGTCGCGAGAGCAATCTCAGAGGGACGATTGAAAATCCGGGCTGCAAGGCCAACCATACCACCAGCGAAACATGTGAGATGTTGGCCATTGGGCTGAAGGTGGTACTCGGGGTTATCTGGATCTACACCACTTTTTCGAATATCCCCAGAGACGGTCAAATGCTCATTCTTGGGATTGTAAATCCGGAAGAACATATGCTTCTTCGCAACTTCAATGAATCCTTCATACATTTTTTTGGGTTGTTCAATCAAGCCTCCAAGAATCAGATACTGCTTTGGAAGATACTCGTAGAGACTGTCACTCATCCCACCGAGCGTGAAGTAGTTGTCCTGATTGAACGAGGGTACCACTGGGTCGACACTAACAGGCCACATTCCTGGAAACTGGGTAGAATTTTGACTCTTTTCAAACTCATCGCTGATCCTCTGAATTGCATCGTAGTACTTGACCTCACCAGTGAGTTGTGCCAATCTTGTAAACTCAAGACTTAGGGATCCCAATTCCGAGACTAGCGTTCTCCCTGGTCGTTGGACTTTACCCTCCACGTACTGCTTCCAATCCCATCTGGTAATAGGCATGCGATTAGGTGTATCAAAACAACCCATCAACAATTCCCCAACCTCGACAGCCTTCTTCAACAAGACCGGGTATTTCGCCTCAGAAATATCATAAGCCGCGAGGAAACCCCCTAAATACCGAATGGTCGTTTCAAAAACATTGATATCCTTCTCCTGGGTCGTGGAGAAATCGATTTGGTCGACTGCTTTGACTGCCAGCTCGAAATCCTTCTTCAGGCCCATAATCCACAGGGAATCAAGAGAATCCACCAGAGTAGCAGCCCACCCACCGAATGTATCTCTGTAGCCCCCGCCCAGAGGAGCTACCTCGTCTCGAAGCCATGCGTACTTCTTATACCCATCCCAACTATGTGTGAAACTCTCCAAGACCGCAGCTTTGCGCCGTAACCGCTCTTCCTTCTGTTTCGAACTTTCGACAGGAGCTTTCGCCTGCACCTTTGGAATCTCCTTCGGCGACCCAGTTGGAAGAGGAATTAATGAGGAGACCGTATATCTTTCGGGCTTTTTCACCCAATGAACGTTATCTGGGGTGAATGGGATTTGAGGTGATGTCAAGTTGTAATAATCTATTAGTCCACCAGGTTTGTTGAGATAATAGAGGAACGAGATGATAAATATTGCGCCCAGCACCAGCATGCGAAATCGCCGTACGGGCGCCATTGTACCGCTATCGCTCAGGTTGCTGGTAGGAAGGAGGATAGTTGAGAACGGTTCGAGACAAGCGTCAACATGCCAATATTTACTCGTTGGCGAGAAGGCCAATGGATTGGATCAATGGAATCTAGATACCTATGATTGGAGTAAGAGCGACCGTAATAAGAGGAGAAGGGAGGAATGTGGTTGTAACCCGTCTACTGAGTAGTCAATTCCAATGCGACCAAGGCCATGAGCAACGAGGCCCCGGAGCGAGGCGTGCGGTGCAAGGCTGCATCCCGGTTAAGCTTCGGGATGCTGCCGTCCTATGATCTTGGCAAGTTCTGAGAGGAGTGCTCTTATGCTCTCACACTCCTTCCTAGTGGATATACAGTGTTCAAAGTTTCTATTGGAAACCTCAATATTGTAGACTGGTCTAGACGCCTCGCTCAAAATTGCAAGTGCCAGAATACCAGTACCTACGTAGATATCTCGTCATCGTCCCGGGAAAGTTCTAAACATAGAAAATCATGCTTGATCTTTGATAATATAACGGAAACAATGGAACCGTTGTCTCACATTCAAAAGCTTTTATTACCTCATTGGAGGAATTCATAAAAGTTCAAATACAAAAAGTAACAGAATCATGTGACGAGTCACTCGACTTCAACGTGATTCAGTATCAAGAGGAACTGAATTAGTCTACCTCCGTTGGTGCTAGCTGCATACTTCATCAGTGCAAATAACAAGTCCCACAGTTCCCTTTCCTAAAAGCAAGTCATGGACACAGGGCGAGTTCTCCGCAGGCCAAACCCAAAAAAACAAATGAATTGATGTTCAAAGTACTGTGGGAGTTGTATTTTCCGTAGGGTTATCATCGTAACATTATCATAGGCCCATGCCCCATTCTAGACGCCTATCCAGCAGTCCAGCTACCATATGCTTTCCTCTACCGAACAATCATGCCAGGCTTCGAGACTCTCTTGCGCAGAAAAGCAAAAAGTGACAAGTTTACTTTTGCATCATGAGCTGAACGAATTCATTGTCTATGCAAAAGTTAAAATGATGATTCAATAAACGAAGTTTTGTGGGGAAGCATACAATCGATACGTCCGTCACCATCTTGATCAGCCTCTCTGATCATCTCGTCAACCTCGTCATCTGTCAACTTCTCTCCAATGGATGTCATTACATGACGAAGTTCGGCGGCGGAGATAAATCCGTTGTTGTCACGATCGAAGACCTAGTGTGTTGTTAGCGGGGTCGAAATCAAACCCCATTTTGGAAAAAACAAACCTTGAAGGCTTCTCTGATCTCCTCCTCAGAGTCGGTATCCTTCATCTTTCTTGCCATCATGGTAAGGAACTCTGTTGTTTCATCAACAAACTTGCCCCGATTCAATTCTTGTAATTCTGCCTACCTGGGAAATCGATGGTGCCATTGTTATCAGCGTCAACCTCGTTGATCATATCTTGTAATTCGGATTCAGAAGGGTTCTGTCCAAGCGATCGCATGACGGTTCCCAGCTCTTTGGTAGTGATTTGTCCTGCGAATGGCCATCAGCATTGCGGTTGAGAACGATGGCATGGCATGGCTCTCGTCCGACTGCCCCACGTCGCATTCAGGGGAAGCATCCGCGAGTCGAGTCGGGCCAAAAGATATCCTAGTGTAAAGCCCATATTCATTCGCTCGTAGAGGAAGCCAGGATTGGTGGGGAACACTAACCGTCACCATCTTTATCCTATTCCACGACAGAATCGTCAGCTACCACGTTCCTGCAAAAGGGACCCCGCCTTAAGGGCTAGATGAGGCTGAAGGATCAACTTACGAATAGGGAGAAGGCCTCCTTGAACTCGGACACTTGCTCTTCCGTGAGAGAGTCAGCCTGCAAAGACGTTTGTTAGTACACGCCGCCAATTTAGTCCCGTCATAGCTCCATGCGAGAAATTTGGGGAGAAATGGCGGGGCTGAATGCTGAAGACGGTGGAAGGCAGTCATACCATGGTGCTTAGCGGAGAAAAGGGGTGGGAAAGAGGGTTGTCGATGGAGTTATCAAGATTTGGTGTAGGTATGAGGATCGATTCGTGGGATGTAGATGTGGTAGAGGAATTCGCAGAGGAGTGAAGATTCCTATGTTGTGGTTGAGATCCCTCTGCAAGTTGATGGGGCACTTGTGTGGAAGCAGTGGCAGTGATTCTTATACGGCGGCCAACAATGCCCGTACCGCAGTCCCAGCCTGGGGTCGCCCCTGCCAAACAATGCAAACACAAGAGACACAAGGCAGACTGCAGAATGTGCCTCAGGCTGCCATCGAAGCTCCAAGGTCCGTCAGACAACTACTGAGGCATGTGGATGTGGATGTCATTTGCTACTTGACCATTTCTCGAACACCGATTCCAGTCAAAGAAAGTGGGAGATCAGTGCTAGGTTGCGAAGAAACCACAAGTTCAGAGAGCGCAAGCTAAACCTGCGTGCGCCATGTGGCGCGATCGCACCAACCTGTATGTTCCGTTCCTCTTCCACGTATACCTCACGCTCCACATCCAGAAACTTAGTCTGACTTGGGGATAGTTACATTTCCTACCGGCAATCATATACTCACCACCCTGCCAAAAAGCCAAAATACTCGAGCGGCGCTTCCGGAAACAGCTATGGCGACAATTTCATTGGAGGGGGGTCGGAACGGCAGGGTCTCATGTCTGCCGGCGCATTCGAGGACGATGGCGATGCGATTATAGAAATGGATTTGTTACCGCCGCGGTGGGCAGACATCAGCGATGAAGTCACGGAATATCTTGCAAATATAGCAAGTAAGAGCGTAAAACTGGAAAAACTACACCAGAAACATGTATTACCCGGATTCGACGACGAGGAAGTGAAGCGGACGGAGGAGAGGGAAATTGAGCATCTCACCCAAGATATTACGAAAGGATTCCATGATTGTCAAAAGGCTATCCAGAGAGTTGAAATGCTGGTCCGGGAGTCCAAACAAACTGGAGGCATCAGTAAGGGAGAGGAAACAATGGCTCGAAACATCCAAATATCTTTGGCAGGAAGGGTACAGGAAGCCAGCGCTGGGTTCAGGAAGAAGCAGAGTGCATATTTAAAAAGTACGAGCTCTTTCAGATTCCAACAAAAGTCAATACTAACCACAACAGAATTGCGAGGCTTAAGTGGCATGAATACACAAATGGAACGCTCCTCCACCCCTCTGTACAACAACTACACCGACCCCTCCATCCTAGAAACCGACGCCGACAAATCCTACTCCGAGTCGGCCCTCCAACAGACCTCCCAAATGCAACTCACCTCCAACGACGCCGCCATCATCCAGCGCGAACGAGAAATCACCGACATCGCCCAAGGCATCATCGAGCTCGCTGACATTTTCAAAGAACTCCAAAGCATGATCATCGACCAAGGAACGATGCTCGATCGAATAGACTACAATGTAGAAAGAATGGCGACCGAGGTCAAGGCCGCGGACAAGGAGCTCAATATCGCTTCAGGGTACCAGAAGAAGGGCACGAAGAGGAGAATCATCTTCCTGTTGCTTTTACTGGTCATAGGCATGATTATCCTGCTGATCGTGAAACCGAAGAGGCATAGTGAGCCGAAGGTAGATGAGAATGTACCACCATGAAATGATGTCTTGATAGGTGAAGATTAATAGTTTTCTTTTTTTCACCACCAACTCCTCCTGGAGACATCCCTTGGAATGTCGGCTTTGGTGTTGTATTGTTCTGACTAGAAATTTGGGGTTCGGAGTTTGGCGCGGGATATATATAAATTGGGGAGTAGCGAGGGTTTACGTCTGTATACCTTTTTTGATGAACAAGGTCTTGTGTGTATCTTCGACGCTTTTCTTGCTGCTTGTATATAAATATACTCTGTCTGGATAGATACCAATGGACCTTTTTCGTTGTCTTGTTATTTTTGCATTCTTCTAATCTGATGAGTCCTCCCTGATATGTGAATTCCTTCCTTGTTCGCCATGTGGTGTATTTTGATTATTGTGGAGATTCTGGAATGGATTTAGTTTAGGGTTTGCAAAGAGTTTGAAGGAGGAAGGAGGATGTGTGATGGTGATGGTGAGGGTGGGATTCTCGCTTATCTTGGATGGTTTGAAAGGGGGTGTTTTTGTGGGACGTACTTATATATAGGGATAATAGTGTTATGTCTTTAAACTTCCTCAATTTTGTATCAATGTATGATCTCAGAGCCTCAGTTATTGGAGCTGGCAATCTTCACGTAAGTTACCTACTTGGACACACTACTAAATGCGCTTTCCATTTATCAAGGTATTCTTGAAAGACCTGTCTCTTTTTTTTTTTTTTTTTNTTTTGCTACAAAATAGCAGTCCTACGCCAGCACACATCATCAAAGTACACGCACCAACCAGTTCCTACTCATCGTCTGGATATCTTCCCTCCACTACCATCAGTCTTGGTGGCACGCCAAAAAATCTCTCGTATTGGCCCAGCACCGACCCGTTATCTTCCTTGATACCATACAAATCGTCAAAACGACGATCACTGACCATGCCCCTTTTCATCTTTACGATGTGATCATTGGACAAGTCTTTCAGCACGATTTCGCCAGTTAAGGTATCCTTAATCCATTCTATCTTGTCATTGACCACCACCAAAACGTCTCCCAAGACGGGGAACTCCTTTCGTGTATTCCAGTTCTCTTCTCTATTGCGCCAAGAACGAACTTCGATCCAATGCCTTATCATGGTCCAAGTTGCCCATCCACATGCCAGGTGCTTCAGATACTGAGAGAGCTGGTAAGGAAACTCAAATAATTTGAGTTTGGAGTGTCGGTACCATAGATATGTTGTCTCTTCTGGTATGTAAAGTGTATCGACCTCGGGGTTGAAATAGGCCTTGGGAAATGATACTCCTGCGCCATTCTCGGCGAATTTATGGTGGTCTTTGACTCTAATCGTAAGAGGATGGGCTGGTTGCTTGAGGTAAATGGTTCTTGATTCGTGGTTGGTGCTGAGAAGGCTGGAAGGGACGTAGTTTCGTGCATTAACTAGCCATTCATTTGGATGGTAGACGTTAGTGACGCTCACGATGCGACCGTCGGCATCAACAAACTTCCAAACCTTGATTCGGAGTTCTGCTGGAAGTCTTGGGAATAGATGGAAGGTTGGTGGAGAGCTTGTGGTGGTTGTAGGTGTGTTGTCGTTGTTCAACATGGTGGCGTTGGATGTGGGCAAGTTGGATGACATTATGTATGGGCTTGAGAGTTGAGGATTATTTTGTGTTTGGTTGACTCGTCTTCTTCGTGTTGTGTGGAATGTGTTTGTTGTTGTTGAAAGTGTGTTGGAGGTGGGAAAGATGATGGTGGATGAGTAGCATGGGTAGGATGAGCAGAACAAGACCTGATATATTATATTCACTATTTCTGAGGCTTATAAGACCGAGGTTCCTCATTCCATACTTTTACATCACCACATTTGAATGTTCCTAATTCATAATATCCCTTCTTTGTCTAATGGCATTTGATGTAGGGAGGACTTTACTGGGAGAATTCAAAGCAGCTCATTGACAGCATGTGTATCAGTATTGAAGAACGACGATCAATAAACCAAGTAATTGCTTATACACAGAATCCTATAAACAGCGAACAAATATAAGTTAGACAGAGATGGAAAGTGCATAGCCAGGGGCTTGTCTGCTCATATACTTAGCTTCATCGCCAGCCCCCAGGCTAAATATACCCACTGGATTGCAGGTTTCATATGGAAGGTGATACAAAACCTCATCTTAATAGCAAACATTTGAATGAAAATCCTTAGGGTATGTTACAATCACATTATACTTGCCTGGAGCTCTTTACTAGCTCTTTTTTCTTGATGACGCTCACATATTAAATACAATATGACGGGAACCAATTCATTTTGCCTTTCAGTTATCGAGAACATTCAGGAGAGATATCGAGAACATTCAGGAGAGAGAAGTGGAGAAAAGAGAGTTCATCCAATGAGATACATGCTGATTGTGAAGTAAAGCAAAGGAAAGGAAAGGAGATAAACCGCCAGGTGTAGACACTATCCACTAAAACCAAACTCATACTGCTGCTCATTTTCTGGTAGCAGTCTCATCCCGTTGGCAAAAAACAATCCTCTCTCAACAAATCTAGGTATGAATGGAAGGCCAAAAAACAGCAAATGCCAATCTGTTTTCTCCTCAAAGTCTATGTTGTATCCCTCGCATGAGTTCACATGATAGAGTTCCATATTTCTGCCTATGTCTATGTCTGTATCTGTCCGTGGTTCTCTAAGTTTAATTGCACCAACTTCCGGTTTCTTTCTTGGGCGTGGATTCCAGAGACTTCGCCCGCGACAATAGCAAGCTCTCTCAAATTTGGGAAAACTCTAACATTATCCCATAATTTCGAAGGCTGGATATGTTAGTTAACCGCAGAACCGTAAACGGCAGACCGGAGGTTCTCGTGTGAAACTCCACGCAGAGACTCCTCCCAGGCCAGGTACTTCAGATTCATCAAAGTAGAACACATCAGGGAACGGAACAGAAACACATCCATCCCCTCCCATATTCCCCACGTGTCAAATCGGGAGGGTCCGATGTAGAGTGTGTCAACCTCAATGTTGATATGCGAAATTGGTAGCGAGTCAGCTCGACGTCTTCTGATGTCCAGTGTTTTGCAGGGAGGGAATAAAGGACGCCATGTTCTCAGGTATTCGGCTCTCGATTCCTTGTTCGCTCGAAGGAGTCCGCAGACAGTGTAGCTTCTTCGATACACATACCATTACTCTGTCTTTCTCGAGTAGCCAACCTCGACGACTCGATCGTCGGGTGGGGCAAGAGACCAAATTTGTAGTCGAATCTCGGTTGGAAGTTCAGGGAAAAGGTGGAAGGTCGGTTCGTCTTGGGGTCGTTTCAATGGTAAGCGGGTTTTCTCGTAAATCAAGGCCATCGCGATTGCTTGTCCAAGTCAAGACAGGATCTCCACGAGGCTATGCTGTGAGATAGCTGATCCGATCTGGAGAAATAGCGCGTCAAGTGTGTTTGCTTGCTGATCAGTTGACCGAGAAGAATGTTGTGCAGAAGTTGTCTTCAAGGCTGAATGTGCGCCAGATTTGTGTTCAGTTCTCCTCAAAGATGCGTGAAATGTAACGTCAGCCAGAAGCAGTGAAACAAGTGCTGTGCGGAAGACTGTTACCAGTACTGGTTTCATATCAAAGGTGAAGAGCGACTTACCAATTAATGAGTGAATGAAACAATGGTAAGATCAGCTTTTCCTCTGTGGACAACTTTTCCCAGCCCTTGAGGAGCTAAGTGCAAGGTTAAGAGAAGGCTTGTACTCTGAATATCATAGGATTATTGGCCTTGTAGGTTCACAAGATTCCCAAACGCTCAATGACACTAGTATGGACAGTACAAGGTAGCAGGTACACTGAACATGAAGAGCACAGAATAAAAGTTTTGATCTGCACAAACACTTCGTGACTGCTCTCCAGTATGGTGTGTAGGAAAATGAGCTGCTCCACTAATCTTATGCAACCTCATTTGGCTCTGAAGTGGTATGGTGGGACTTACATCTAGCTTTAGCTTTCAGGTTTGAATCTTCCAAAATTGAGGCAACTGGGCCCATCCACTTTATAGAGCATCTCTTTATTGCATATATTACCTATTGTTTGTCACGAACAGAATTAGTTGACTGATGTGCAATAACAATTAACTTGTTCTCTGGTACTGATAACGTAAGATCTTACGTTTTGGTGCCATTCATGCTTGGTAAAAAAATGGCAGTGTGATTGATTCTGATACTGATTATGATTCTGCGGGATTATACGCGAAACTTCTGTGGCTAAAACTCTAAAAAGTAAAACTGGTTCCATAGTATTGTTCCCTCCTCAAAGTTTGACTTGAAGTGCCTCCGCAGTGACGTTGTACAAAGAAAAACTCTCTTGCCCCTAAGTATGAAATTCTCCGTGCTTCAATTTTCGGTTCTTGAGACTTATGCTGCAGTACAACTGACGTCCGACCAAGTATCAGAAAACGCCACTCCCAGAGATACTTGGTACCATCCACACTACCCAATCTCAATCTACAGTCGAGGTTACTTTATCACCACAGTGGAAACATTTCAAGCTATCAACTGCGTCTCCACCCCTGGCCGGATATTGAAGGTCCCGCGATTCAACTTTCGTCCAGAACTCATCCGTCTTGTAGGTATCGTTGATGCCCTTTGAAATGCTATTCTCAGTCCACTCGTCATATGGTCGGGATAGATCGTGAAGTGTTAGCCAACCTCGTTTGCGTATGCCCTGGCTATTACAAAGATACTCGAGCGCCATTTTTTCGGGTTGCAACATATTGCACACCAAACATGTATCATTAAGAACCACAGCGAACTTCTTTAAAGATGGTAGAATTGGTCTTCCGGATGCGGTCAACCACCACTTCTCGCGTCGCATGCCATAGAACTCCCAATCTTCGCAAGATACGTTCTCAACGAACTTGATCGCTTCGTATTCCGCCAACTTCTTCGTGTACTCCGGGTCGAGGTTGTCAATGCCAGCGCTGATGTAGAGCGTGTCGACTTTGGGATTGATGTAGGACAATTGGAGATCGCTTTGGGGGTATGTGACGAAATGGGCTATAGCTCGGTTGATTTCGAATTGCGCAGAATAGACTGGGCGCCAGTTGGATTGAACAACCGGGAAGAGCGGGTAGTACAACTTTTTGAAGACCGCTCGTGACTCGCGATTTGCAGCGGAGAATGCAGGAGGGTCGAAGTAGGTTTGCTCGGCAGTTGTCCATTGCAGGAGGGTAGTGTGGTAGAAAACTTCAATCACGCGAGGGACAAATTTGGCAGAGGCTTCCCAGATCGCTGCTCGCAGTTCATAGGGTAAATAGGGAAACTTGTGGAACTGCGTAAGCGGCTTGATAGGCGTGTTGTATAACCTTGTGTGTTTGGTCTCGGCTGGTGGAGGTGCGTTGTTCGCAGGTCCTTGATCAGACAGTAGAGCGACAATTGACATTCTGCTTTGAGTTGTAGTAGTCGTAGAAGGTGCTGGACTGGATAGTATGGATTGTATGGCCATCACAGCAGCAGAGTTTGGAGCTTGTGGCATGATCTTGAAGAAGCCTGGAAAGATCGCTGTTAGGCAAACTAATCAAGCCCATACAGGGTCAGCTGTCGCTTTTTCGAATACATGCTTACCAGATAGCTTGCCTTTCACAAAACCAAATTGTCGCCACAGCTCAATCTGAAAGGCAGCAGGAGCGCCTGTCAACTGCTTTGGAAGTCGTTGCAACCTTGTTCTGTTGTCAAAAGAAATAGGTCAACTTTGAAAATTATAACCTCAAGGCAGAGCCAATACAAAGGAAATGCGAAGAGATAGCCTTCCCAGCCTCGTCATTTTTGGTTGCATCAATAGGCGAAAGTAAACAACAGAAAGCCGCGTGGTTAAAAGCAGCATCCCTTCTCACAAAGTGAAAGTGAAGTTCTTGTAACTCTTGCCCATCAGCCATGTAACTCTTGCCCATCAGCCATGAGAGAAGGCTTCTTCTGGTGATACTCTGCTCACTTGTAGAGAACTGTAATATAATTGATTGTGAATTTTGATAAGAAATGATTTTGGCGAGTTTTAAGGCACCTTGCGATATATTTATAGACAGTTGTTATCTCAAGCTCAACCCCTCGTTGTCAAGCCTTTTGATGGTGCTCTCAAAGAATAGTTCTTGAGCACCCCGTAGCACCGTACCAATTGTGAGGATGGACAAGTCCGACTTTTAGAGCGAGGAATCAATTGTCCACAAGGAGCCAAAAACAGGCTGAAGAACAACTGTGTAAACAAAAGAGCACAAGGCGCTGTAACAAACTGACCAAATCCACTAGTCCTTTTTATTATACAAGTAACTTTACTAGAGGAATCAGATGACCTGATCCAAGCCAACAATAACGATACATCCTATGAATGAAGAGTAATGTCTCTCTATTACATACGGCCAGTATGCGCCTCTTGTTGATACGTGTATGTGGATGGAGTGCTGGGAATTCCAGAATGACTGTATTATAATAGTATTGAATAAACTAAGGAAAGAAGCACTCCTAAGAGAGCGAAAGAGAACTATGTAATGATGTCTCCTTTGAAGGTTGTCTAGGCTATTAATGCACAATGTTCTTTTGCTTTGCGCCTAACATTTCAAAGGTGAGTGGTTGTGAGACCCAGGTGAATTCCCCATATGTGGCGTCAAATATAAAGTAAGAATCTAAAATGTGTGCCTAATCTGACCAACACGTCGCTAGTTAAAATGAAACCCCCAAAAGCTTGAAGACAGGCTCTGTCTTAATTGTAGAGCACATAGCTGCCACAAAGATGATGAAGATTATAGAGCTTTCGCTTCTATGATATTCTCACAAATGTTACATAAAATTAGTTTAGGATCCACCTACCAACCATTTTATGTGGGCTGAGTGAGTAACTGAATTATATTTGTGCAGACTCAATCGCAGTTACATATTTGTAAGGTGGTTTGACCTAGGCAAATGTGAAATGGGCCACGCAAGTAGCAAAAAGATCCAAGTATCAAAGGAAAGCTGCGAATCAAGCTTAAATAATTTGCTGTATTTGAAGGTGGATTATTCCTATTCATACCAGAATCTTTTGCAGCACAAACTTGGGCTAGCTGCAGTCGTCAAAAGTGTATGCTGCGACATGTTCTAGAGCGATCTTATAATAGAGCTTTTTCAACCGGAATCTCAATTGAATTCATGATCTTGTAAACCTATTTCTCTGAGCTGATCGCAGGCAAATTTTGTTATTCAATAGAGGGAAAACAAGTGTGATATACATGGACATGAACATCGTTTTACAAGGTTCTGCTAATATCAAGAGCACATACTCTATTTTAAGCAGAAAGTGGCCAACAACGAAATAACACCAACATTCTTCCAAAGTTCGTAGAAAAGATGCTACTGGTGGATATATTGTAACTGATTTCAAACCAGATATTTTGTACAGTATGTACAGTAAGTATCCATAGAGTCGTGTCAAGATGGACTTAATTCCAAATGTCCGAAGACTGAATCATAACACTGTATTACGTGTACCTACGGAATCGTTCAGCACTTAAACCAGTAGGTCCGTATACACTAACAAATCAATAGTTTTTCAGCTCAAGACTTGACTTACACTTTAGGTAACGGTAGCGACTCAAGTATTACACAATCCATGCCGAGCGATCAGGTTTTTTCCTGCAATGTATCATTATGTATGGTTATTGCAGGCAGCTCGTCCGAAGGATTGCCTGAGAACTTTATAAATTTCTTATCTTCAAAAGAAAGGATCGTGAAATGTCCACCAAAAGAGGCGCCTCATCCTTATTGTGTGGGGTAACCAATCAAAGTCGCCTAACCGGGTTTGTGAAGGCTTGGTGGGTCGGGCCAAGGCTTTTTCAATAGCTTTGTGATTAAGGTTGGCTCTGTCGATCCCGATTGTTCCTTCGACATCATCCCATGAATTTGTCATGTCAAAACTGCATCTGCACTGGCGATCGTGTGTTAAGCGTGGCTGGCATGAACCCGTACCGTTGGTAGTCCGGTGGTCTGGACAACCTCAACCCAGGTCCATTGGTCTTCTAGACCACTCGACTCAGTTGACTGATGGTACTGTATTTAGCCAGACTCTACTCAGTACTAGGTTTCTGTTCTTTTGACAACAATCCAACATATAGATTTACGTGATAGGTATATGTGTACCCTACCTCACACAGAATGCCAGGATAACCGACCTGGGCAAATGCCGAGCATTGCCCTTAAAGTCTACCCACGTTCTGGTTGGCACTAATGCAGCAACGACGACTTCTCTGGGTGTCGTCCATGTCCTTCCATCTTCATTCGGTTGATGGCGTTAGTGTCATCAGGTGGCGCCTGCCTTTGCCTGCTCTCGCCTGCCTCCCCACTGGCCTGGACCATACAAGCGCGGTATTTACAAGTACCTGCTCTGGATACATCCCGGGTAGTCACGACCACCCGCAGCCTCGTGGAATCATGCTTCCTTATTTACTTTTCTCTGATACTGTACTTGTTTTTCCATCCGTTCTCTGCTTTAGTTCACTCTGCTCTGACAGCGGTTGCCGTCTTCCTTGATCCATAAGGACTGTCATTCCTTCTTCTCGTCCTCGTTTTTATCTTTGTTTCTGTCACTCCTTTGCAATCGAATCGGCTTTCTTTGGAACTGGTCCATTTTCTTCTGGGAAGTCTCAGTTGAGGCCTGGATGTTTGGACCCAAAAACACCATCTGGATCCTTCGAAAATAATATCATCATGTATACTGGAGTCACTCGTGGTGCACAAGTCACCGGCATTGCGGTGATGGCATTGTTTCTGACCTGGCTCTCTTTCTCGCTACGATTATATGTTCGAACCCGGCTTCTCAAATTCTTTGGACGAGAAGATTGGTTGATGGTGGCTTCAATGGTGGGTTACTTGCAAACCGCTTCAAACCCGTTACTAACTTTCCCAGATCTTGCTCTCTACACTCTGTGCTCTCTGTCTACGGTCGATTGATTACGGGCTAGGTGCTCACATGTACAACATTCCACCAACGGACAAGGAAATTGGATTCAAGGTATAAATAGAGCGAATGGCCTGAGCCAGACCTGTGCTAACAAACTACAGTACATATTCATTTGCGAATTTCTATACGTCAGTTGTACAGCAGTTACAAAACTCTCGATCGGCGTGTACTTCCTTCGTCTTTCTTCCAAGCGGTATCAGATATGGACCATTTACTCGACTCTTGTTGTAGTCATGATGATCAGCACCATGTACTTTTTCTTCCTCCTTTTTCAGTGCATGCCCATCAATTACCTGTGGTCTCAATGGGAGGGTGGACATGGTAAATGTTTACATGGCTCCATCCTTGCGAATGTAACATACGCCCATGCTACCATGTCTGCTCTTACAGACTGGGCTTTCGGAATCCTACCAATATTCTTCGTCTACAGAATGATGATGAATCCAAGAACCAAATTCTCTATCATTTTGATTCTCTCTTTAGGCTTCTTGTAAGTTTCCCTGTCCCTTGCCTTAAATTCATCGCTCGTTATCCTTAATGTGGTAAGACTCTATTTACTGACCCTCATATTCAAGTGCAAGTTCTGCCACCATCGTTCGAATCATTTACATACGAAGCTTAACACTCACCGATGATTGGTCTTGGGAGGGAATCAACTTGGTGAAATGGTCAATGGTCGAACCCGCCATCGCGATTACTGCATCCAACATCGCCACACTCCGTCCACTTGTCAAAGATTCCTTCTTCTTCGCTAGAAGACGGTTTGATTCCGATCTTGACTCAGATGGACGCCATTCGTATGACAGTACTTACACCTCGAAAAGTGAGAAAAGAGTCAGAACGCAGGAATACAGTGCTGAATTTGCCGAAATGCTTGGCCTGACCAAAGTAGGAGTGACCACGGAGATCTCGGCGAACAATCAACCAGAGAAATCTCGCCCCCGACGACCATTCAGCATGGCTCGAGAAAAGAGTGACAGCGAGCTGCAATTAAATGAAAAGACGGAGGAAATGGATTGGAGTTTCATCACGGCGACAACAGTGGTCACACGCGAAGTCAGATAACCAAATTCATCTCGGATGGTAACCAAACGGAAGGCGGATTTTGGAAGTCCAAAGGACTTGAACAACACAACATAATTTTTGAAGTGCAAGGAGGCGGGATAATCGAATGATATATGAAGAAGGCCATTATGACCGAGCCGAGCAAAGAAGAAAGACGCAATTCAAGACGAGGCAGAGTTGGGAGACATTTTGCTAAATCTGAATAATATGCAGATGTAATAGTCTCGATGAAATTTCCGAGAAAAAGGGAGGATAGGTTGTCTTACTCTATGGGAGGGGGTTACTTACAGTACGATAGTTTAGCATGAGCGTGTTTGATACCTAGTAATTTAATACTTTTACCAAAGAGCCATTTGACTAGATGGTGTCGTGAACGATTTCTTTGGTGGATGTCTAGGTATGTGATCCTACCGGGTTTTGGAGAAAGAGATCGGCCTTGGCTCTCGGGAGTCTCCATTATATGAAGTAGTATCTGGTGATCATGCTGATGGATCCTCCCCTCCCTCATCCTCACCCACCGAGGTTCAACTCGGGGTCTCCGGCGCCGGCCGGCTGATCTTGAAACAAAGATGTCTGTCTCCATAGATCTTTCTTTTCCTATTTCGAAAGGTTTTCGAGAAGGCGGATTATTCCCTTGTTTAGATGGGAGTATGGGGAGATGGGGATATGGGGTGGAGTGGTTTGTACAGTACAGTGCAAGGTGCAGTTGGTGTGTGATGTTTTTGTATGTACGTACTGTAAGGCTGTCGAAGAATCGTGGTGCGGGGTTGGGTTATTGGCACTGGTTATTGGATGCTGATTGATGGCTGCGCCGCTTGGTTTGGGGGCTGTGAGGTGAGTGAGGTGAGATATGTAAGTGTAAGTCGTCGTCATTCTTGGGTTTTTATGTACTGTGAATGGAGGCTGATGGTTGATGAGGAATGATATGGGGTATAAGAGCTGCTGGTTTCCCTGGTTTTGGGGAGGTTTGTTCTATATGATCTTTTTCTTTCTTGTTACACATACGCATACGCAAGCGTAAATACGGCGAGGCACAAATACGAGGTGTTACGTCGAAATTGGATGTAGCACTGAGATCTTTAAAGAATCACTCGAAATCTTGGACAGTCTTGAATTGAGGAGTCTTGGTCCTGGAGAAAGAAAGAACGGAAGAAGAGAAGAGGGAACAAGATGTGTTTTGGAAGTAAGAACCGGAAGGCGGGATATGATGATCGGGATGGGTATATGCCTGCTAGACCTGTTGGGTAAGTCTTCCTTTCTGTCTCTATCGTCAGTATTTGGTTGGGTTTATTTACTTGTTGGGTACGGAGTAGATGCTAATATGGATTTTCATAGACATGGTCGGAGAGCGAAAAGACGACAGCGGGGTGGACGTCGTAATGGTCATTATGATCATGGGCTTGCTTATGGGGGAGGTGGTGATTATGGAGGCGGTGATTATGGAGGCGGTGATTATGGAGGTAGTGGAGGAG